TTCTCTGCCTCCCACTTGTTCCTAACTTTCCTCAATACACCTTCAGCAGCTCCACTTCAGAGGTTACCAAACCTTTGGAGGATACTTTCCTGCTTTTATTAAGATTCTTTGCTGTTGCTTCTTGAATTTCTCTCTTCCGCTGGCTTCCATGTCAGTACTCTGTCCTAGTTTTCTCTTAGCACTTCTCAGTCATCTTTTCTGGTTCTTTAAATGTTTCTATTCCTCAGGGCCAATCTGTTCTCAATGGTAACTTCACCAATGCCATTGTTTCAATGCCACCCATACACTTATGACATCTAAACCTGCTCCTTCGGCCCAGATCTCTCTCCTGAATTCCAGACCTAAATCACAATTGTATCTCCACTTGTACCACAGGTATGCTAAACTGAGCACATACCAAAGTAAAACTGTCATCTTTCTTCACAAACTTGATCTTACTATAACGTTATTAACATTAAAGGAAAACTCCAGTTACCAAACTTTAGTCCCTCAAGCCAGAAATCTGGCAATCCTATATTCTTTCAACTACTGAGGGTTCTACCTCAACATCTCTTGAATCCATCCTCTGTTGTCAATACTCACTGTTATCACCTTAGTCTATAACTCATCACTTCTCACCTGGATCACTTTAACAGTCTTCTATCTGATGTCCTTGACTTTAGCTACCCACAACCAATCTCTTGTCCACACTGCTGCCAAACAATTTTTCTAAAATGCAAATCTGTTTATGCCTTAAGACTCAATATCTCCCTAGTGCTTTAAGGATAAAAGTCAAATCGCACATCAAAATCTGCCCTAACCTGCTCCTACCTAACCCTCTAGCTTCTTTTCCTGCCATTCTATGGCATTAACCATAATTAATGATTGTTATACCACTGTGACTTCACACATCCTGTTTCTCCATCCAAGCCCTTTATCTAGTCCTATATATATTTCACCATTTAGTATAAGTGTCATTTTCCCTCTGTTTCTTTCTAAATGCACTCACTACTTCACCAATGAAATTATTCCCTTGAGTAATATTTTACTAATCCAGTTTGCCTTAGGTGTAGAAAAACCTTGCCCTTCCAAGTTCATTTTAAAAATCATGTAGATTTGCCTCTAGTATTTTAGTGATTTTAGATTTTTACATTTAATTTCTTAATCCAACTGAAAGTTTTTTAGAAGGTAAAGGGAGCTGTGTTTTCCAAATGTTTTGAAATGAACATGTATTACTTTTATAATTAGAAAAACTCTCAATAACGCTAAGTATTAACATTGGAACCAAACTTCTTTCTACATTTAAACTCCATCTGCCAATTTTTAGGTTGGCCAGCCAAATTGTAAATACACTACTTTGATTTGCATAAAAGCTAAAAATTGTACACAGTCCAGAGTAAAGGATGACTTTTCTATTAGCATTTTCATTAAGAGAAATTGTTAAGCTTTACTCTATGCCAACATTTTATAATGTATAGTATAGAGCAGCACTGCCCAATACAACTTTCTCTGATGATGGAAATGTTCTATGTGTGTGCTGTCCAATATAATAACTTCTACCCATATTTGGCTAGTATAGTTTGAAATCTACTGATATTATACACAAGGCTGTACAATTAGACATATTCAGATACAAGTCTTCATTTCCAACTACTAATATAGGTACACATACGAATAATCAATAAGATATAAGTCATTCTGTTCAAGGGTTGTCTGGCAAGAGTGAGTAAATTAATAGCAGAGGGAAGTGGAATGTTAAAGAGAAATTAAATATGGGTCTGGTAATGGAGGGTTAATTGCTTACCAAAATAGGAATGCTTTCTGTATTTGTATATAATCAAATATGCCCCATTTTAGTGTTGGAGCATGTCACATGCATCTGTAGCAAGGAATTTAAAAAATATCCCAAATATGTACATCAGAGAGAAACAACAAAAAAACATAGAGCAAGATTTTACACTGTAAATTGCATTTACCTTAAGAGTGCTGAAAAAGTGGGCTGCTTTGATTTTTAGAGGCCCAAGATACCAGTACCTAAGAAAGACCAAGATAAAAACCTGATTAAAATATTAAAAGAACTATTAATGTGATAGATACCATTCAAGACAAACAATATTGGAATTACACCTCTCCTATGAGTGGCTGCTCTGGAGGCTTGGGGATTGTGGCTTAGCACAAAGAATATTATAGTAAATTTTTAAACTGCATTTCAATACCATGTGAAACAGTATGTAATTAGTTATGCTGTAGAAAAGTTTTTTTGTTTTTTTTTTTCTTTTGCAATTTACAAGGGATATATAACCAGGGTCTCCTTAAGTCCCTAAATTCACGAGTATCACTATAACACTTACTTTCAGCCATAGAACAGTTGAGGATACATTCAAAAGAGCAATGAGCAGAGGATGATAAATCCACATTGAGATGCAGATGCTGCATTATGTGTTATTCACGAGCTAATGACTGCATCCACATCCTCACACACGCACTTAAAAATTGTAAGTAAGCATAATTTCACGTTACTTATGTTATACAGCTTTAAGATGGCAAAAGTTAAATCTGGGAATGAAAAGGATCTACTGCATATTGCTTAATGCATAAAAGGTACTGAAGAGAGGAAGATGCCTAGTTAGAATTAGAAAGTGGCATAAGGTAGATTCCTTCCTTGAAACTACTGTTACCAACCACCCCATCTTAACTGCTCCCTATTGATTCTGATTAATGTGCATTTATTTAGCACCTATTATGTATATGGAGAAAACAGAAGAAATACAGAATATGAAATTCCCACATTGGGAGCTTATGATTTGAGAAAATAAGGCCCCCAAAAGTAATAGAAAACAATAAATGACTATCTATGGCACAGTATAAAACAATCACTATTTATTGGAAAGGAGAGTCAAGAAGAGCCAAAAACTCAGTAAGGGTCTAAAATCATTGGAGCAGCCATGCTTATAAAATGAATAGCACAAGAAAAAAGGGTATAGAACTTAGAAAGATGGGTTGGATTTAGATACATGAAAGAGGGAAGGAAATCATTCCAGGCAAGAGGAGCAAAGGTATGGGAAACAGCGAGAATAACAGCCAGAAAAAAGGGAAAAACTTAAAAGTAACGATGCATAATTAGATAATTACAGGTGATGATAGATAAAGTTGGCCCTGGAAAACCAGAATGAGGAGTTTCTACATAAGGGGCAATGAGCAACCATTCAGATTATTATTCAGGTTAATATTATAATGCTACCAACAAGGGCCTTGAGCATATGACGTGTATGTGTGTGTGTGTGTGTGTGTGTGTGTGTGTGTGTGTGTGTGTGTGTGTGTGTGTATTTCAAGCTTAGTTTATAGTTTGCTTCTTTCCCCAGTTAGCCAAGTAGAAATACATCCTGGCAGTTAGTTTATTTCTAACTTGCAGTAGTTCTTTTCATCCCTCCCAATAGCAAATTTTGACACTGCGCTTGCAATCTTCCCATGGCCAGCTAGGGAATGATTTGTCATATCCCAACTTAACAAAAGGAACAACTAGTAGACAGCCCTAAACAAGGTATTATATAACAACAACCAAAAGTTTACAATTCACTGTTAAGAAACCAATCAAAATATGAAGTAAATATGTCAGATATTCCTAAAAGGGCTGATCTGTGCTTGTGCATGGTTGTTGACCAACACATTTTGAAAAGCAATTTGTTTTCACCAGACTTTTTCAGGGAAAGCTAAGCGATTCCACTTGGTGAGCTGCTGGAATCTGAGCTTATGAGTCAAACACAAGGTGATTTATGGAATCGACATAATCATGGCATACTTGCAAATAAAAAGATGTGAAATATTCAAGCATGCAGTGGTGATATAAGGCGGTAATATCTCTCTTCTGATGTTCCACTGTCAGGAACCTCATTAGCAGGAATAATAAAGTGAAAGAAGCGAGAGACAGTTCTGTACAGAAAGTGTGGCAGGCTGGCCTATGAAGTGAGAGAGGAGCTTCCTGATGAAAGGTGCGTGTGAGATCACTCGTAACGCATTTAAACTACACCAAAACTGTAAGCCCTCAGTTTTAAGAAAAGGTAAAGAAAAAACACCAGCCACCAGGCACGAAGTGAACCTCACAGTGTCTCCTTCAGTCCTACCTCAGGAAGCTCTGGGCTACACTACCTCTCTCCACAAAATGAAACATGACACACTCTCTTTCCAAGCCAAGAATTTCATTTCTCACAATGATTCTCCAAAAATAAATTCATTCCCATGAAAAGCTAGTGGCGGCCCTCTAATCACCTCCTCAACAGCCCTGTTTCTTCCACCTCACGACACAGCCAGGTATCCGCCTTGCTTCCTTCTCTAGGAGAGGTGGCCTGCGGTCTCTCAATCTGCTGGGCCTTCAGAAACACACGTCTCAGGAAAAGTCTTCCTAGCAGGACCATAACAGCACTGAGAGTCTGCAGCACAGGCAGTACTGCAGGATGGCAGGAATCCAGTGCTCCCTGCAGTCTAGCTTGAGCCTTAGCCACATTCAAATATTGTGGCTAAAAATAGAGACGCACCCTTCTCCTCTCCAGCTACCACCAAGCTAGTGTTGAGGAAACTGGAACTTTCCTAACCTTTCTGTACACAGGACATAAACCTCTACCTGACTGTTCCTACTTCCATTATTCAGACACAATTCAACTTCCAGGCACACCAAATTTATTCCCAGAAAATCACTGTATATTAAAACCTCAAAGGAGGGACAGAAAAGTATTTTTTAAAAGCCATCACACACGAGTACAGCAATCCTTTNAGGAAACTGGAACTTTCCTAACCTTTCTGTACACAGGACATAAACCTCTACCTGACTGTTCCTACTTCCATTATTCAGACACAATTCAACTTCCAGGCACACCAAATTTATTCCCAGAAAATCACTGTATATTAAAACCTCAAAGGAGGGACAGAAAAGTATTTTTTAAAAGCCATCACACACGAGTACAGCAATCCTTTACTTGCTAACTTTGGCGCCAGCATCTCTGAAGGATCCCCATCGAAGGCCAGTCATTGCAAACACAGGTTGTTCCTTTTCACCCTGGAAGTTAAATACACTTAATTTAAATTCATGATTATAATAACTTGGCACTCTCTACATGTAAGTACTCAGCAAATATTCGTGGCCTACTTTCCATCAAACCAAAATTCTCAAAAGTATGTTCACATTAAAGAAATTAACCCTGTGAGTGCTCAGTAAAAGTACCTGAACAAGCCATACTGTAAAGTGAAAATAATTTTTATGTATTAGGTCTCATAAATCTGTTAGCAAAGCAACATATTATCATACTTCAGACTGCAAATGAAGGAGCATCTAACTATGGTTCTTAGACCAATCAGCCAGAATTTCCTCTCTCTTGTATACTTGTCCAAGACAAAGATAATTTAACCCTGTGTTCTCTATATAATCAAGAGCTCTCACGTAAACCAGAATATGGTGCTCTAGAATGTTTCACCTTAATATCTGAAAATACAGTCAAATGTTTGTCACAGCAAGTCAGAATAAAAAGGGATTCACTTGTGCTATGAGACACCAAGGACCACACCCTTGACGCACAATACTCTTTTATGCCAAGAATGGCACGGATAAAGGTGAGAAACCATTGCTTTCCTCAGGAGAAAACTTGGAGAAAAGCAACACAATGATGAAGGTGAAGTTTCCCACTGTGGACAGTAAAATGGTCATGTTAGAATATCCTGCTTCATATACAAACACGAATTAAAGCCTGGCTTTTCCTGGCATTGACAGCTGAGAGAAAGGTCTTCCAGTGGTCCTCCAGCAGAGGCCCCATGCAAGGTGGGGAGATGAGCTTTGAGAATAGTGGGAATCACATAACTTC